GTAATGACATACCTATGGCATATGTGCCAGAGGTGGCATGCAGAACCCTCTCTATGGGAATGTGCACTGTAGCCAGCTGCTCTTCTGGTTTCTGGCATGCACATGCTTCATTTTCGCGGGTGCTGAAGCACCAGAAAATGGCCAAACAACTCACATGAAAATGGCCCCCAAAATTGCCTGGTTTTGGCCATTTTTCAGACTGTTTCCAGCCCATCTTTTGGCTGCTTTTGGACCATTTTTCGGGCCAAAAATGGCCTGACAATGGCCCCCAAACAGTCTGAAAACAGCCCCAAAAGCAGCCAAAACCAGGTAATTTGGGCGGCCATTGTCAGGTTGTTTTTTGGGCCAAAAATGGCATGAAAACAGCCTGAAAATGGCCCAAAAACTGGCTTGAGAATCAGCCAAAAAAGAGGCATATGCGTGTTGGCCAGCTGATCTTTGGATTTCCGGTGCTCCAGCATGCATACATGCACCTACATTCCAGTTTTGGCACTCACTGCCAAAAAGATTTGCCATCACTTGTCTAGATTATTGTTTATCTTTAAGAATATAGGTTCCTGTGCAAGTTTTCCACAGTACTTCAAGTCCTAGATCTCCCCCAATTTCATAGACAAGGGAGAGAGGGAGAGAGGGGGAGAGAGATGGGGGAGGGGGGTAGAGAGATAGAGAGATGAAGAAAATGTGTGTGTGTGTGTGTGTGTGTGTGTGTGTGTGTGTGTGTGTTCCTCTTATCTTTTTTTCTGTGGAGATATTAAGAAATGCATTGTGGAAAATGCTCCTGCTATTAGCCATTGTCCGAAGGAGGAATGGCTTGAAAAAGGCAAATTAAATAAATGTTGTTTTTTTGTTTTCTCAGATATGGAAAAATGCATCAAGTGCCCAGATAATCAACATTCAAATGTGGATCGAGTCAAATGTATCCCCAAAATTATAATCTTCCTGACTTATGAAGAACCTCTGGGCATCATCCTGATCTCATTTGTGCTATTTTGGTTCCTAATTACAGGGCTT